CGCTAGAATATCCCCCTCTAGACTTCTCAAGCCTGAATTACCAGCAACAGACTGGTGGGTCTCAACCCAGAGTTATTAAAGAGATTCCCCATCTATATATTGTTTTCAGTAGATAATAATGAGGGTGTGCTCAGAAAGCTCTGATGTTAAAACCCTTCCTGCTTGCAAAGGTCAAGAACTGCACAAATAGACCGAGGGTTCCTATCTTCCTCAGTTGACCAATCTTTAACTTTAAAAACGTGGCAAAAGTATCCTGAGCATAAAAAAGGGGATAAAATATATCCTGAGCATAATCACTATGTGATAGAAAGATCCATGTCTTGGTAATATTTTTTTTTGAGGAAAAAAAAAAGCTAAAAATATTATTAATTCTGATAGGCAAAATCTGTAAAGAGGAATGTGTATATACAGTAGTGTTGGGTGCAAAATATCATAGGAACAACGTGATCATGGGCCGCCAGTGGGGTACGGGATAAAGAATCAGTTATCTGGGGTCAGAGGACCCTGGATCAAGTCTCAGCCATTCCACCTTCTAGCTCCATAACCCTGAACAAGTCCAGTTCACCTTCTTATCTGTAAGATGTGTGAAATAACAATACAAATGCTTTCAAGGTTGTTGGGCTCATATTGGATAACGAAGGTGAAAGTGCTTTATCAACCAGCAGAAAAAACCGAAAAGAAATGTGACTTGTTGCCATGATTATAATAGTAACTTTGATTTAATTTTGCAGCTTTTTTTTTTTTAAAGAGAAAGGATCTTGCTATGTTGCCCAAGCTGACCTTGACCTCCTGAGCTCAAGTGATCTCACCACCTCAGCCTCTCAAGCAGCTGGGACTGCAGGGTGTGCACTACTGTGCCCAGCTTGACTTTGCAGTTTTGTTTTTTGTATTTTTTTTTTTTTGAGTTGGAGTCTCACTCCGTTGCCCAGACTGGAGTGCAGTGGCCACTCCCGGCCACCGCAGCCTCGACCTGCTGGACTCCGGCGATCCTTCCGCCTCAGCCTTCCAAGTAGCTGGAATTACAGGCACGCGCTACCACACCTGGCTGATTTTTTGATTTATTGTAGAGATGAGGTCTCGCTGCCCAGACGGGTCTCGAACCCGCGGGCTCAGGCAATCCACTCACCTCAGCCTCCCAAAGGCACGGGATTACAGGCTGAGCGACCGAGCCCAGCTGACTTTGCAGTTTTTATTGACTTTTACTCATAAATAATGGATTAATTTTTTGGTAATTTTTGCACTTCAGGGATGCTGCCACTACAGAGAAAAAAATGCCATGATTCACATGGGCTGGATTACAAGATGATTTACTTGAACTCCAAACTGCAACTGTAAAATTTCCACGTCTTTTTCCTCTCGGTTTTCCAACTCTATGATTCCATCTCTCTGGCCTTGACTTTCCACCATTTCAGCCCCGTCTCTTTTCCAAGTTTCCTTTTCTCCCATGTAAGGTAAAGGGTAGAAGGGAACTGTGTAAAGTCTCTCTGCTCTGAAAGTATCAAACTTTCTTTGCGGAAGGGTATGATCCTATTTCAGCACCAAAAGCGCGAAACTGCCTCATATAATACCAGGAGAAAAGCAGTGAGAAACTTTGCTCTAGCTGGGATTACTTGATCTATGTTGGGTGGACAGGAAGGCCAGTGGGTCAAAAAGTGTGGATGACACTTGGGCTCAGACAAGCCTTTAAGAACACACCCCGAGACATGAAGTGATGAAATCAGCTCTCACATGAACTGCGAGGCTGTCATGTGCACCCAGTCAGTTCCTGTCTCGATGGGTGTTGAGGGGAATGGGGAGGAGACAGCAGGGATGAGGAAATAGGTCGTGGGGAGAGGGAAGAAGAGGTCAGTTACAGATGGTGAGAAAAGTCCTGATTCTGCCCCTCACCAGTCCCCTTATTCTGTGGGACTGAGACTAATCAACTGGCTTATTTCTACTCCCAATAATCGATCTCTCGCGGAAATCTGCCGAATTTAACACTACCCCTCGTGAGCCCTAAATCTCCCAACTCTGGCGCTATTGACAATACTTATGGAAGAAAGCAAGTATCACCATGTGGCACCCCCACGAATTGTTTAGTTAGAGCTCAGATACCAAATGGACTTCTTTCAATCTTCTGCCGCATCCCTGCACTTCCACCCCAATAGTAAAGTGAGGAGAAGGCAGAGGAAAAGTTGGATTATTCAAGTCTCTGGGCACTCAGGGTCCTCTAGCACCCTGAGGCAGTTTCATTAATATTGACTCTTCTCATGCTACCCATTAAGGAAAAGTGAGAGTTCATTAGTGGCACGTGTTAGAAAGAAAAAGGGAAGAAAATACAGACATGGCTTTCTTGGCAGGGCGGACATGAAAGGGGCAAGGAGGAGGAGGAGGATTGCTGGGTAATACTGGTCATAAACGGCACTGAGGGCCTTTCAGTGGGACAAGGGATCAACAGTGAGCAGGGAGCAGATGTGCAAGGTATGTGACTTCAGACTGCGGCTGAAACGTACAGGCCCCACTTCGTGTTGCCAAGAATAAGTTCCCCTCCTTTTGCTCTTGGTATTACAATAAGAAAAGTCACAAGTATATGAAGCAAATAATAATTAAGGATGGGGAAACAAGTGGTCTCACCAGCTGCACCTTGAGGGAAGGACCAGGAAAGGGTCTGGGGAGGGTTTGCCCCTTGAATAAAGAAGAATTCAAAAGGCACCAGCGCTTGCTTGTAAAGAAAATTAATTTTGTGCTGAACCCACATGCTCAGGGTCTGGTTGATGACAGCTGACCCGCAGCTCCCACTGACCCTGAACAGTCCGTATACTTAAACTAGATGCCCCACCAGTGCTACCCATGGGCCACGGCCAGGAAGAAACCCAAGACAGGCGAATGAGTGCTCACCCGGCCAGGGCTGGATTTGGTAAACTGGCTTGGATGGAGACCAGTAGTAGTGACCTGGGTTGTCCCTGGCCCCTCCTGTCACCAAGGAGCTCAGCTCCATCACAGTTGACAGGGGAGTCGAAGGAAGCTACCCAGAACCCACAGTGTGACAGTCAAGGTCGGGGACCGCCACTTAGGCCTCGAGGCTGTGTGTCTCACTGTGTCCCAGTGATAAACCTTCACTACACCCTTCAAATCTCTCATCCAATAAGGGACACCCAAATCCCCACCCAAATAGGCTTCATTTATTGGTGTCAAGTATGGCTCAAGTTTATCAGACTTCTACTTTCTCCATCTCCTAACCTAATATCTACTCAGGATCCAGAACTGCACTCAACCCTGTGACCACTTATCTTATTGCTGAGCGGTGGTTTTCAAACTGTAGTCCTGGAACCCTCAGAGTCCCATGGAGCCTCCCATGGGCCAGCATAGGGTTAAAATGACAGGGCTGCCGGATCCTTTCTTTGCCCCTCTGTTCCACCATAGCAATTTTACTTCTCTATATTAGATACTGGCATTCCAGATCACATCTGAATTGCTTACTCAGATAAGAAACCTACTGAGCTCGCCAAGTTCCGGCCGATGAGATGATGCATTAGCAGGGTGGCTCATCACAAAATCCTTACTGGAATGATGGGCACTGCCCTCCTTTGGGCTTCCCCAGCTTCCCGCAATAGACTCTGAAGAGCTGTGTCCGTGTCAGCTCATCTGATTTGACCTTCAACGTCTTTTTAAAATAGGAAATTACCAGCTGGGCTCGGTGGCTCAGCACCTTTGGGAGGCTGAGGTGAGTGGATTGCCTGAGCCCACGGGTTCGAGACCCGCCTGGGCAGCGAGACCTCGTCTCTACAATAAATCAAAAAAATCAGCCGGGCATGGTAGCGCATGCCTGTAATTCCGGCTACTCAGAAGGCTGAGGCGGAAGGATCGCAGGAGCCCAGTAGGCGAGGCTGCGGTGGCCAGGAGCGGCCACTGCACTCCAGTCTGGGTGACCAAGTGAGACTCCAACTCAAAAAAAAAAAAAAACAGGAATTACCACTCCCAATTTACAGGTGAATAAACTAACCTAAAGAGGCACAGAACCCTGTTGAAAGTGGAAGGCTCTCAAGCAGCAGAGCCAGGACACAAACTCTAGTCTTCAGATGCTGAACTCCAGCAAGACCCATGGTACTCTGAAGTATTTGCCCTATGTACTCATTCATTCTTTGAGCTCATCTTCCCAAGAAGGCCTTATCAATCCCCCAACTGAAAGAGTGTTCGAGGGAAGAAGTGGGAGTGGAAAAGGAAGGCCATAATGACCAGACTTCCCTAGAACGTCTATAAATCTCTGGTGCTACATACCCTGGGCTTCATGGTACATGCCTTCCCAGCATGAACCACTTACACTTAAATACTGAGAAACAAGCAAGCAAATTACTGATGGACACCATGAAGTCAGCTGGCACCATTCAAATGTGCATTTCCTTGATATATCGGGTACACTGCTGCGTAACTTGCTTCTGCTCTTAAGTACATTTCAGAAGACATGTGATTCCAAAATAAACAAATGTGCAACTCCTAGGCTAGGACTAGTGCTAGTACAAATGAATATTTCATAGAATCCTGATGACACATCCAAGAAGGAATAAGAAGGGGAAGAGCAGGAAAGGAATACAGTTCCTCTGTTTTCAAAAATACTGAGAATTTAAAAGTACCAGCACATTAGATTTGTAACTTAAATAAAACATATGCATCATTTAAAAGCTGCTGTGCTTACACAGTATTGAATTGCCTCTGTGAAATGCTGAGTCAAGTGATTGATTTAGCTGCATTGTTTCCATGACTTGTAGGGAAATAAATATAAGCATTAAAAGGCTGGTTTGCCTCACAGAAGATATCCAATCAAAACGAGGCACACGTGCACACAATCCTCATGAATCTCCCATTACTGTCTCCAAGACAGTATACTGTGGAAGGTCTTTTTCTCCAACCACTACTGGGAAACATTCAATGGAAACTCCTTCTTCCTGGAACAGTAACTCCTTCATGAACTTGAAGCAGGGAGGTGTTTGTAAATTTATATACACACGGGGCGAGTACATTACCTGAGCAGAAAAGTCAATAAGCTTTGGAAGCAGCACTTTACCACCTTCCTCGCTCTTCAGGAAATCCAGCAAACTGCCTGTGTGTGGAGAAGGAACAAGTTAGTGAATTTCAAACACACAAGAAAAAAAATCCAAGCAAAATCCAAATGATCATTACGGTTAGTGGGGAAACCCCCACAAAATGAGGGGTTTTGCAATGTTGTATAGTCATAAAGTTTTTTTCTGAAGTTGGTCAAATCCAGTCCCCTCTAACCTGCTACCTTTGACCTGATGTGAAACATGGCATGTGCTCCAAGTGAGAAAGGATGGCAGTGGACACTGCTTTTCTCTTTAAAGGTATCTGAGAGCCATGCATTTCGGAGTACCTGCCACCATGATTCACTTACAGTCACTGCCTGATCTTTGGTGAGCTCCTCCAAAATGCCTGCTCTTAACAGACACTCAGCCAGTCTTGCTCCTATCTGTTTCCAACAAAAAACGCAGGACACGGCACATGTCTTAGGTGCCCAATGAGTATTTGATGAGTAAACTGTGCTTTGGAAAAAAGTTAGTCCTACCTACAAAGGAAGATGTACCAGACAAATTCTCTGACTTCCTATGGTTTTATCGCTAAAAAAAAGACCTTTTCCCCTAAAACTTCAAGTATCAATGTCATAGATAGCCTTGTTCAAGTTATTTACCTCATCTAAGTCTCTGTATAGTAGGCATGTATTAATAGTTACATTAGGAGTTTTTGTGAGGATGTAATCAGAGGATGGACTCAAAGCACAAGCCTTGGTGCTTGGCAGGTTGTCAATGCTTGTTAATGTTATATCATCTCACCCATAACACAGAACAGTAGTACTTAACCTTCGGACTGCTGAAATAACGAAGTGAGATCACCCATGTAAAGCAGCAAAAGCAGCCAGGTATATAGTAAGTATTCAATAAATGTTAAGCATTATTATGTGGAAAAACTCATAATAGGATTTATTATTCAGAATACAATTACTCTTTAATAATACTATTAGAATACTATCAGTTAATTAATTCAACAATATTTATTGAACTCCTACAAAGCATCTGGCCCTGAGCCTGGTTTCTGGGCTGTAGCAACCCAAGCCACAGGGGTTACTTTATTTTATTTTATTATGTATTTATTTACTTTCAGTTGGAGTCTCATTCCATCGCCCAGGCTGGAGTGCAGTAGCACACTCACGGCCACCCCAGCGTTGACTTGCTAGGCTCAGGATATCCTTCCACCTCAGCCTTCCAAGTAGCCAGAACTAAAGGCGTGTGCTACCATGCCTGACTAATTCTTTGACTTATCGTAGAGATGAGGTGTCACCATGTTGCCCAGGCTGGTCTCGAACCTCTGGGCTCAGGTAATCCTCTCACCTCAGCCTTCCAAAGTGCTGGGATTACGGGTTTGAGCCACTGCGCCCAGTCTATTTTATTTTCTTAAACAATATTCTTTTTTGGAAGGATTCTGAGTAACTGATAGTCTGAAACATTAACAAATATTAAATAATAAAATGCAATATTTATCTTTTGAGCTTATTCAGCTATGACATCACACTATAATCTCCATTATGCAGAGATGCTTATTAATTCTGGATTATTGCTTATGTTTCTTTGTTTCCCTCATTTACTACTTCTAAAGATGTTCTTTCGTTGCTTTTGGATTGGAGTCTCACTTTGTCGCCCAGGCTGGAGTGCAGTCGCATGATTATGGCTCACTGCAGCTTTTGACCTCCTGGGCTCAGGCACTCTTTTGATCTCATCCTCCTTAGTAGCTGAGACTACAGGTGAGTGCCACCACGCCCAGCTAATTTTTTTATTTTTTTGTAGAGACAGTCTCACTCTGTTGCCCAGGCTGGTCTCAAACTCCTGGCTCAAGTGATGACAGGCATGAGCCACCATGCCTGGCCACTTCTGAAGACTTTAAAAAAAAATCATTTGGCAGTGATTTAAGTATCTTTCTTGAATTGGAGGGACAAAGGAAGAAGAATGGTAATTTAAACCTCCCTATATGAGGTGGATAACAGCAGAAGAAAAAAATTAACCTTCCCAAGTTCTAAAAACAGTAACATTTTAAAGTGGCAGACACTCTGAACCTTTAGGTAATGCTAAAGAGGAAGATAAAAATGAAATCATGCTAAAGAATGAAAAGAAAGAGGAATTTAGAATTCAGAACAATCTGTACTGAATCTGTAGTTGAGAACTCGCATTTTAAGTTGTGTATGACAAAAATATTCTTTGAAATACCTATTCATTTATTTGACAAATATTTACTGGGGGACTCCTGGGTTTGCTTTACTACTCTTGGGGCTAACTGGTACTTGCAGACAGATGCAGAGAAAATAAAGAACTATATATCAATTTTAGAACACAAACTACTTCTGATGATAAGATTTATGAAGATGCTTTGTTTTCCCATATTTTTCTGATTTTTCAGTAGCGAGCATGCTGTTTTACAATTAAAACGACTCTAATGTTCAAACATTTACACACTTGACTTGCTGAGTTTGAAGCCCTCGAAAGGAGCTGGGCAGTAGGAAGCACTCACCCTTGGCCATGTACTCGGTGATGATGTAAATGGGCTCCTCCCTGGTGACCACAGCGTAGAGTCTCACGAGCTTGTCATGCTGAAGGGTCTTCATGAGGTTGGCTTCTTCCAGGAAGGCTTGCACAGACATAGTGCCTGGTTTCAGGGTCTTTACAGCCACCTTGGTACTATTGTTATAGTAACCTAGAAGAACAAAGAAGGCAGGGCATGCTTCAGCAAACAGAAAACTAGAAACTGTACTAAGTAGATATCGTTAGAAGAAAATTTAGCTATAGATAGAAACAATCTGAGATAAAACATTATACAGTGTTAAAATCAGGGGAAGTTGGGTGAAGGGTATCTGGGAATTCTGTGTATTTTCTTTACAGAAACAAATCTAAAATTATTCCAAAACTTTCATAAAATGAAGGCAAAAATTTTTTATTTGTGCTCTGCCATGAGGACTAATATTCTTTATCCAAGACCCAGAGAAAACACCAAAATTTGATATACTCCATAATCCCATGTACACACATGCACATGCACACATCATAATCCCCATTTAAAAAATATAACCCCATTTTATAGATACACAGACACACACACATATAAATAACAGTCTGAAAAAAATACACCAAATATTGGCTATCTCTAATGGTAAAATTATGAGGAGTTTTAATTTTGCTTATCATGCCTTTGACAATTTACCAAATTTTCTAAAATGAATATGCATTATAATTTTATAATCAGGGGGAAAAAGTGCAGTACTTTATAAAAATTACTTATATATACTAACTTTAAAGAACAATATGCTAGAGTCAAATAAGTATTTCCCAACGTTTTCAGAGAACTGGACTTATGAAAAAGGACCCTGAGCCAGGTGTGGGGGTTCATGCCTGTAATCCTAGCAGGAATTACCTAGGAATCCTCACGTAGGAAGCTGAGGTGGTACTTGAGGTCAAGAATTCAAGACCAGTCTGGGCAACACAGCAAGACCCTGTCTCTATTTTAAATATATATATAATGTATAGGGGGTGCCAAAAATGTATGCACATGTTAAGAGATGTTATCTATGCATTACTTTTTGAAGTTAAATTTAATTATGGTAGCAATGTGTAACATGATGTTTGCTCAACCATGCTTCCGACATTTTCTTTGACTGCCCTGCCTGTTACATGGTGACGGTAGCATTCATTTAACATCTTTTGAGCCAACGTCATACTTAAAATGTGTATACATTTATTTTGGCTCCGTGTGTGTGTGTGTTTAATTTGGCAAAGGGGCCCATGCTGAACGGAGGGGGAGCCCCTTCCTTCACCCCTCCCCTACCAAGATGTAGCAGATGCCTTGGGAGTAGATACCCTTCAGGAAAGAAACCTGAATTTGTTCACCCAAGCACTTTCCACACTTCTTTGGCCTCAAAACACTTGTTTGAGTACCTTCTCACACTCATGGAACAAACTCTGGGAAATACTGACTCCTTAATATAGTTCGACCAAGGTAGTGCTTTTCTGGAAACTGCCTTAATGAAGCACTTAACTTTCATTCTACCAAGCCTCTCCTCGATGGTTTAGTAAAGTAGAAATATTCACAGTCACACCCCCCTTTCCGTCTCTGTTTCCATATTTCTCTTAGAAGTGTAAAAAAAAAAAAATAGGGTAAGGAAGGAGTGGTAGGTGATGGTGCCACTACAAATCTCCCTTTGGGTTCCTGCTGCCTGGAGTGTTACAGCTTCATAGTACCTGCCCTAAGAAAAGGTGATGAGGAGGAGATAGTCCCCCTTTTGAGGGCACGATGTTATTTGTATGTGTATAACATAGAGAAATGACTGGAAGCATGCTCATCACTGACAAACGCCAACATGATTGTCATGATTGTCTCTGGGTTGTTGAATTTGGGGTGACTTCTGGTTTGTAAATGAGTATGTACTTTTTAATATAAAAATAATTATTTTTAAAAAGAAAAGAAATTGCATTTCTATTTCCAAACCTTCAAACGGGCAAGAAAAAAATTAGTTTACAGCGAACATTCAACCCTAGCAAATGGTTTCTCTGATTTCTCTAATTAAATATTTTCTTCGGTATTCCACTTTGATTTACAATTAGTAGGAGCTTGCAGTGCCCTGTAGAAAAATGGACTTCGCAGCAACTTGGATGGATTTAGAGTCTATCATACTCAGTGATCTATCACAGAAACAAAGAACAGAGTACCATTATGTTCTCACTCATAAGTGGACCTTGAGCAATCCTCATTATCATAATATTATAAGAAAGGGGTAGTGGGAAACTGCCAGAGGAGGAGGGGTGGGATTGGCAGTTGAGGGAAACTGCCAGGGGAGGGAGGGGCTCACCTCATCCATCAACAAGGCTACCTCCATAATGAACATTTGTATACGTAACCCTGAATTGTATCCCACATCTTTAAATTAAAAAAAAATGAAGAATGCAGTATAAAATAAGTAGAACATATGGAGAAGACAGTAAAAGAAAGCTGACAAAAACACTTTCCTAGGTTCTTTTCAAAAGCCACAGCTAGCCGAATATGGTGGCTCAACTCTGTAATCCGAGCAATTTGGAAGGCCAAGGCAGGAGGATTGATTGAGCCCAGGAGTTGAAGACTAGCCTAGGCAACATAACAAGCCCTTATCTCTACAAAATTAAAAATTAAAAAGACAAATTAGCCAGGCATGGTAGTATGTGCCTGTGTTCCCAGCTACTTGGGAGACCGAAGTGGGAAGATTCCTTGAACCCAGGACTGCAAGGCTACAGTGAGTTATGATTGGGCCACCACACTCCAGTCTGAGCAACAGAGTAAAACCCTGTCTCTAAATAATAACAACAATAATAGAAGCCGGGCACAATGGCTCACGCCTGTAATCCCAGCACTTTGGGAGGCCGAGGGGAGAGGATTGCCTGAGTCCAGGAGTTCGAGACCCGCTTGGGCAACATGGCCGTCTCTACAATAATTCAAAAAATAAGCCCAGCATGGTAGCACGTGCTTGTAGTGCTAGCTACTTGGAAGGCTGAGGTGCAAGGATCACGTGAGCCCAGGAAGTTAAGGCTGTGGTGGCTGTGAGCATGCCACTGCACTCCAGCCTGGGCAACAGAGTGAGACTTCAACTCAAAAAAAAAAACTCCTAGAATCAAGAATATATTAAATGAATCTAAATGCATATTTACAAGCAATATGGATCTTTTCTATAGAGCTTAAGAGTTATTTTAAAGTAAACCCCACCAACAAAAGCTCCTTGATACTACCTCTAAATCAAGAAGAGTCCGTTATAGTTTTTATTAAGTTGATAAATAGGTCCTCAATTATATGAGTAGGTCTGTGGCAAAACACAGCAAGAAAATGCACTCTCTGTGGTGCATATAGGGTTACTAGCATCCAGAATATGTAAAGAATTCTTACAACTCAATAAGAAATATAGAAAAAAAGTCAAAGCCTTGGATGACCATTTCTTTTTTCTTTTTTTGTCTGAGTTGGGGCCTCACTCTGTTGCCCAGACTGGAGTGCGGTGGCATGATCACAGCTCACCACAGTCTTGACCTCCTGGGCTCAGGAGATCCTTTCACCTCAGCCTCCCAAGTAACTGGGGACTATAGGCACGTGCCAATATGCCTGGCTAATTTTTAAATTTTTTTTGTAGAGACTAGGTCTCACTATGTTGGCTAGACTGGTCTCAAACTTGTGGGCTCAAGCAATCCTCCCACCTCAGCCTCCCAGAGTGCTGGGATTACAGGCTTCAGCCACTGCATCCAGTGAGCATTTCAAAAAGAAAAAAATCTACACGAGCAATACACACGTGGAAGTTCCTCAATCTTATCAGTAATCGGAGAAATGAAAATAAAGCCATAAGGAGAAACCACTACTGAGCTGGACAAAAATTTTAAAAGTCTGACAATATCAAGGGCTGATGAGTACCTGCCCCTTGGGAGGGACAAGGGGCAGCTCCCCTAGGCTCTTTTCTGTATTCTTTTCTGAGCATCACTGCAATTCAATTGCAAAGCATTTGTAACAACACCCTGAGGGGCCCAACAGAGACGCTGAGAGAGCACCTCCTTTCAAGTAACTGCACACTGCCTGTGCCCACATTCCACATCTAGACACAACTCTGTTGGTCAGGAAAGGGGACGTGGGAACGTGCATGCATTGCTGGTGATAATCTCAACGGGGGCCAGCGCTCTGGAAAATAAGTTAGCAGTGCTTAGTGGAGCTGAAGATTCATATACCTTACGACTCAGTCAACCCACGCCTCTTCACCCCAGAGAATCTCACACACCCTGGTGCCACCTCAAAAATGTGCACAGCACATTGTTCACAGCGTCCAAGACCTGGGAACAACTTCCATTTCATCAGTCCACGGTGAAGTGAATGGATAACTGTTGGACACCTTGAATACACACACGACACAGCACTACATGCAATGAAGAAAAATGAACAGCAGCCATACCCCCCAAACGTGGATGAAACTCACACACTGTATATATCCACATGTACGAAAGTAGTAAAATGACAAAGAAAAACTAGGAAGTTATCAGGACGGTTAGAATAGCAGTTGTCTCTGGGGGAGAGGCAGGGCTGTGGGTCAGAGGGGAGGGAGGCTTCTGCCGTATGATCGCAGGGGTCATCACACGGGTTTTCACTTTGCAATGATTTGTGAAATTGGATACTGTCTTCTGCCTGTTAGATTATATAGTAATAAAAGTTAATGAAAGGGAACCCTTTCCCTTTTGTCATCATGAAAACAATGGAACTCATTGAGAATCTTATAAAATAGAAAAATGAGAGTAAAGGATAAAGAAAAAACCTGCCTTCTAAGGGTGAGGGAGAAGTTATTAGGAAACACTGCAGCTGCAGGTATTAAAAACGCTGACGAGGAGCTTGAAATGCTGTGTCACACACAGCTCGGGAATGGCAGGAGTTCCTGCAAAATGACCGCTTTGGGCTGGGATGTATAACCAATAGGGTGGTTTTCACTCCTGCACTAAAGGTATGATGTCTATTCAGCATTAAGGATAAGATTATACTTTACCAAGATAGTCCCTGGTAGTTTGGAGGTTCCAATAGTCATAAAAATTTGGATTGTCAATTCTGAAGAAAAATGATTTAAAAAGTATAAGAGAGATGCAATTCCGGCTGTGACTGGCTTGCTAAAAAGTGCGCAAACATCACAAAATGGTGGGTGGTTTTAAAAAAATGCA